GAGCAAAATGAGCAATAAATATAACCTAGATGGATTATGAAAATTGAGTAAAGATGTAACTATGACATGTACCAATTTAAAAATGGAAAATCTAAAATATATTATTTGTAGTCTGAAACAGAAGAGCATGATCTGAACACCTATGTCATACACTGTAATGCAATTTGAAAAACCAATAGATTTGAACATGCAGATTTGTAAGTGTTGCAATACTAATTTTGCTATTTCATCATTTGAATTTGCAAAGTGGGATTATTGTTTCAATTATTGTGTTTTGTGTGATAAAGTTGTAAAGTGATGATTGATTTTCAATCTGAAAGATTAAAAGTTTCTCATAAAATAGGATTTTGACTGTTGTAAGATATAGAGAATGCAACTAGAGTGACAAACATATTTTAATTATATTTAAATTGGTAAGTGTAAATGCATATGTTCCTTAAAAATATAACTAAGCAGACAAATGACTCTTAAAAGTGCACAAAAATAGCATGTTCCATTTTGTCCTCAGGCCACATAAATGTGACTTATATGCAGTAATAAAAGAAAAAAGCAGTACTTAAGACGTTTTCTGGAGTAGAGAAAAAAGTCTAAAAATGTTTTTGTTGACATCCATTTTCTTTTCTTATTCTTCCAAATTAATTTATGAAGTCCTTAGAGACTGAGACAAACTGAATCAGTCTGGATAATGATGACCTCTGTGCATTCAGTCTCCCAGTCCTAGTGGAGTCAGCAATTATCCTGTGCTTCCAGTTCTTCACTTTCACGTTACGGTGAACTTGGCTCGTGCATCTTTCTCTTTGCATGGATAACCACACCAGAAAACTATTAAATGCCACTGCTCATATCTTCTGTGGCACAAAGACTGCACGCCCCTCAGGATCTGCTGTGATAAAGTGAATGTATCTGTACTTCCTGATCATGGCAGAGCAGAACAGTAGCTTAAACTGGTAGATGGCGAGAATGCAGTTATGTGAAGGAATATTGGAAAGATTCTTTCCACACTGGTGTAGATGAACTTGACAATCCTTGTATAAAGATGGGAGAATAGTGACAAACTATTTCAGTTATTTGGAATATGAAATATATGTTCTTTTGTATTGAGTATACAAGATACTTCATTCACAATTTGCTTTTCATTGACCCTGATTTTCCATACACTTACCTCACATAAAATGGATACCTTTAAGTTATTTCCTGCAAATTCCCACATGTCTATGATGTACATGGTGAGGAAAAGTTGGACTAGGCTATTAAACATAAAACTGAGTGCTGTTTTTTATTAATAACCAATCATATTACTTCCTGTTACTGCAGGAAGATACCTCATCTCCCTGTCTTCTTCTTTTGGAGACGCATGGTTGATTCCAAGTGAAATTATCAGATACTCAGGCTGTATGATCTGCAGGAAAGAGCTATAGAGGGAAAACAGAGTGCACATATCATACATACATCAGAACAGATCTGTCTCTGGAGTCACTATATGATATACTTGCAGGCTTCTATTGTTTCCTCCATTCTCACATTAGGCCACACATTTTCAAAAGAAGAGATAGTGTCAGACTTTGCATTCTATATTGTCCAGAGAATGACCTACAGCGTACCAAGCAAAAAAAAAAAGAATAGCAAATTATTAGTAGTTACACAGCAAAACATCACCAAATCAGACACTCAGAACTAGCAACACAAATCTACTTGGAACTCTTTAAAGTTGTCAACTGGAGCTTCCCATAGGATAAGTCTGTGACATAGCAGAATGAGTGATTCCAGGTAAAAGAACAAATAAATAACAGATAGGGCTGGCAGCATCAAATTGGGAGCTCATGACACCCAAGAGAAATCAACTGGCGAGACTGAGGTGGTCAGCTAGTTCTACTTGAACTGTTCTTTCATGCATGAGCTCCCCACGTGTGAACTTCCTGTGACTGAACTTTCAGATTCTCTTTTCTAATAGATGCCCTTACACTACGTCGTAAAAAATAGTCATATTTATTGGATATAGGTTACTTTCTAGCTATTTTCAAGGACAAAGTGATTTAATCTTAGTCTGTTTTATTCTTCTCTTCCCCTTTTATCAGAAAGACCACCAGAGCTTTGAGAACACTTTGACACAAACCTGTTTGGGTATGAAATATGCTGGAGACAACTCCAATATCAGACCTAATTTCTCAGTGAACTCAAACAACACACTACAATTTACTAATGTAATGAGCATTACATCTAGTTTTTTATTCCTCCTGAGGAAAACAGGAGTCAGGAAAAAAGTACCTGCAACATAATTGTGATAAATATCTCTGAGCACCTGCTTAAAAATTTCTCTTGACTAGAAACTGATAGAAAGAAATTAGTGAATCACATGCATACTATGACAGATCATTCGTTGTGCTTTGTTTTGAGATAGTTTTGTTAAACCAAGACTACTCTGGTACTCACAATTCTCCTATACCAGCTTTCTGATTACTGAAGTTACAGATATGTGCCACTATATACACTCTGATTATCTTACTTTTAGTATTTTGGCTCCAATTACTTTTATGTGTGGGAAGTTATTATTAAAGTTGATTTCTAGGACCTAAACACAATAGGTTCTCCATATAGGTTTATATATGTATATATGTGTGTTACATGTAATATATATACATTAATATTGTATATTGCATAAAATTGACAGAAAAAATTAAGATAATGTTACTTGCAATAGTTAGGCAAATATACATGCCATTCAAGTAATATATAACTTAATTGTAAATATTCAGATTAACATAAAATAAATTCTTTTATTTCTAATTCTCTGGGGCCCATACTTTTTAAGATACAGGAAGCATGAACATGGAAACCTTTATTAACCACTGAATGAACACTTCCATGGCTTCCAATTGTTCAGAATTGACGTAGCTTCAAAGTAACAGATTCTATCCTGTCTGCACATTAATTTAACTAGAGACAAAATAGTTTTAATTTGTGTCTTTATAATTATTTTTTCACGCAGATATCAAAATATTGAGAGAAAATTTCCTCAATGAGAAGTAAGGATACATTAGCAGACACAGGCAGATGTACTTTAGACTGAAACATATTATGGAGGTTTCCATTATCCAATTCCAATGTCATATGAAACTATTCATCAGCTAATTATTTTTATAAGGATAGTATTTTGTATGTTTTAAGTCTACTGTGATTAATTGTAGATGTTTCAGACTGGAGGGAGTAAAAGGAAGAGAGGATGGTGTATTCTATTAAAATAAAAAAATTAAAAAGTACCATGATTAAAGAAATTATGAAATGCCAGAGACCTTCTCCAGGTTAAGGTCCCAAAAAAGATGTGTGGAGTCAATAGGGGCAGGGACTTGCAGGGACAGGGACTGACATGCTCTGAGGATGAATCCAGATTGCTGCCTCCATGTTTGTGGAAAAAGGGAACCCACAGAGACAGCTGACCTGAACTCTGGGCCAACAGTTAGGGAAACTGCATGGGACTGACCTAGACCCTTTGCATGTGTGTGACAGTTGCATAGTTTGTTCTGTTTGTAAGGCTCCTAGCAGTGCTATCAGGATCTGTCCCAGGCACTTAGCTGACTTTTGAGAACCTATTTCCCATGCTGGATTACATTGGCCAGCCTTGATGTGTGGGTAGATCAGTTCTACCTCAACTTGGTGTGATAAACTTTGCTTGAGACCAAGGGAGGACTGCCCCTTTCTGAATAGAGAGGAAGGAGGAGTGGATAGGAAGGGGAGTGGATGGGTAGGGGGACTGCAGGAGAGGAGGGAGGAGAAACTGTGGCCCGTATGTAAAATAAATGAAAATGTTAATCAAGTAAAATAAAAAGAAAAAAGCTACACATTTTATACTCAATATTTTAGCCACAGACAGGATTGAAAAAAGCAGGCTCAATCCTCTGGGACAAGATTGGTCATTAACTTCATTACAACAGTTTTTTTTTCTGAGGTAAAAGTGGAAAGTTAGGTTCTACACATATTGCATAGGTAGGATTTTTCTATCTTTTACCTTCTTATTGAAATATTTTGTTTCTTTAATTTTATTGAATTATTTCAATTATTTAATATTTCACTTATTCTTTGAAAATTTGAGAGCCAACAAATACATTTATTTTCTGAACTCCATTCTGTGGCACTATTTCCTTTATTGGAAAAATGGCATGTTGAAATTTATTTGTGTATCATGAAACTGAACAGACTACTAGTATAATATTGACCTGAAATCTTACTAAATAGGATATTGGGGGATAAGGGTAACTCTTTTTAGAGAAAAACTAACACAAGCGATTAAGAATGACATCAAAGGTAGATGATGCACTGGCAATCAGAACTTTACCCAGTCAATTTATTTAAAGTTCTTGTTTGGGGGTCCTCAAGAGTGGTAGAGTTAGAGCTTAAGGTTCTATTCCCACCTCCCATTGAAAACACTAAGGACTTGTGACTGTACAAGTTTATGCTCCCATCAGCAATACCTAGGTGTTCTAGCTTCCTTTCATCCCCAGCAACATGAGATGTCATTTGTTTTATCCATCTTGGCCAGTCTGGTGGGTGTTAAGTTCAAATCTCAGAGTAGTTTTGATTTACATTTCCCTGATGACTAAGAATGTTGAACATTTCTTTCAGTATTTCTTAGCCATTTATGTTTCATCTTTTGAAAACTCAATACTTAGTTCTATACCTCATTTTTAATTTAGTTACTTGTTTTCTTGATGTCCATAATTTTCCCATATACTTTAGATATTAAACTTCTAATGGATGTCTAATTGCTAAAGATCTTTTCCCATTCTGTAATCTGTTGCTTTGCCTGAATGGTGTCTGTTTCATTTTCGTGAAGTCCTATATATTGCTTGGTCCTAGTGCCTGTGCAATCCATGTTAGTGGGCTTATGAACCTCAAGCGGTAGACTTTTATTCCTGAGGATCTGCATAAGAAATATATGAGTTTTGGTTGCTTTTTTACTTGTCTCATTATTTAAATAAATTCTCTTTTTCAAAAGGGTTGTGGTTAATGAAGAGATAGAGAATCGCACAGGTGTCTTGGAATTCCATCTCATGGAGCTCTCAGAGGATCCAGAGCTGCAGCTTCTCCTCTTTGGATTATTCTTAGCCATGTACCTGGTCACGATGCTCGGGAACCTGCTCATCATCCTGGTCATCGTCCTTGACTCCCATCTCCACACACCTATGTACTTCTTCCTGTCCAACTTGTCTTTGGTTGACATCTTTTTCATATCTACTACAATCCCCAAAATGATTGTGGGCATCAACATGCACAGCAGAGTAATTTCCTATGCAGGCTGCTTGACACAAATGTCTTTTTTCCTCCTTTTCGTATGTATGGATGACATGATTCTAACTGTGATGGCTTACGATCGTTTCGTTGCCATTTGCCATCCCCTCTATTATACAGTGATTATGAATCCTCAGGTCTGTGTTGTCTTAATTTTGTTGTCATTCTCAGTGAGCATTTTTGATTCACAGCTGCACAATTTGATTGCCTTGCAAGTTACTTGCTTCAAGGATGTGGAAATTGAAAATTTCTTCTGTCATCCTTCTCAACTCCTTAATCTTGCCTGTACTGATACACTCATGAGTAACATAGTAATATATTTTATTGGTGTCATACTTGGTATTTTTCCTGTTCTAGGGATCATTTTCTCATACTGCAAAATTTTTTTCTCTATTCTGAAAATCCCCTCTTCAAGTGGGAAATATAAAGCCTTCTCCACTTGTGGTTCTCACCTGCTAGTAGTCTGTTTATTTTATGGAACGGGGATTGGTGTGTACCTTGGCTCAGCTGTGTCACATTCTCCACGAAAGAATGCAGTGGCCTCACTGATATATACTGCAGTGAGCCCTATGCTCAACCCCTTCATCTATAGCCTCAGGAATAGAGATTTCAGTAATGCCTTGAAGAGATTACACGGTAGGGTTTTCTAATCTCAGAGCCCATGGCTTCCATTTAGGACAATGACTAGAAATATAGAATAAAATCTGTTGGTCACAATGTTTTTGAAGCCCATGAGTTAAATTCTGCATCATGTTTTTATTGTTGTTGTTTGGTTGTTTTTAATTTTTCTTTTTAAAATAGTATCACATTGCCGGGTGGTGTTGATGCACACCTTTAATCCCAGCAAATGGGAAGCAGGGACAGGTGGATCTCTGTGAGTTTGAGGCCTGCATCGTCTACGAGAGCTAGTTCTAGGACAGCCAGGGCTGTTACACATACAAATCCTGTCTTGAAAAACCAAAAAAATATGGTCACTGTTGTTGGGATGAATGTTGAATGGCAAGAATTTCAACAAATTGTTGCAAAAATTTCAGTTCAAGAATGTGAATAATTTCTGAATATGAATGGTATTTTGACTGTTGTCCCCAAATGTGTATGTGTGTGTGTGCGCGTGCACACAAGTGTGTGTGTATGTATGTATGTATGTATGTATGTATGTATGTATGTGTGTGTTATGTACAGCTGGGTCTAAAATCTCTATTCAGCAATATTATCAATATGTAATTCAAAGGTCAGATTAGAGATTTTAAAATTGATCTAATGGACATTTCACTTAATTCTAGAACTAATTACTGCTTGATGTTTATGGTCTTCAGTAAGCATTCTCATGATAATTGAATTCATTGTAATTGAATTCATTTCTTTTCATTTATTCTTTGAAATTTTCATAAATAAATATGATAGATTATGGTCCAAAATAATCATCTCTCCATTATCTCTTTTTTACTATTTTTTTAAAATTAAAAATTTCTGCCTCCTCCCCCCCTCCCTTTTCCCTCCCCCTCCCCCCCCTCTCCACACCACACCTCCTTTCCCTCCCTCTCCAGCCCTAAGAGCAGTCAGGGTTCCCTGCCCTGTGGGCAGTCTGATCTCCATTATCTCTTATACTTCTCCAAACCCAACAAACTCTCCCTCCTTCTACCAAGTTCACATTCCACTTTCTTATCTCTCTGGGTTTTTTTTGTGATCAACTGGGTTAACTTAGGCTACACACACATACATGAGATGAAGTGATCTACTGAACTGCAAGTGTCTCACAGTGCTTATTATTACTGCGGACAATGACTTTCCCTACTTTAGACTGATGTTAGTTTTGCTGTATGGGACAAGTTCTATGAGCCCTTTATGATATGTTAGGTTTCTACACTAGGTTTTGTGGAAGCCCTACACAGACAATTATTGTGAGTATATGAGTATAATGTCCATGTTAAAACAGCATTTCACTGCTATATAAGTAGTTATCAGGCTATTATGTCTTTCTGCCTCCTTTTCTGTGATGATTCCTGAGCCCTAGATGGGTAATACTGGTTTGATACTTAAAGATGTACACAATTATTCTTATCATTTTGATCAACTATGAATCTTAACATTAGTTGTCAAATTGTATAAATGGAAAGTTCCTTGAACAATTATGAGAGTAATGACAGCCTGATGGTACAATATTTAAGAGGCATTATGATAGAATGTATATTTTACAAAACAAAAGATATATATACACTCTTAGCACCTGTGACCACAATATATCTTGGGCTTTGACCAGTCCACAGTGCTGAGTATGAGCTGCCTTAGGCCACAGATAAGAAAATAGTTGATTATCCTTATAGCATAGATGACATGATTGCATAAGTACAGAAGTTTAACTTGGCTGCTTTGATTTAGGGTGAAAACAGAAATATGACTATTGATTTTTACAAATAAAGCTTATTTTTTTTATCATATTCATTATATTAATCTCTCTTATCTAGTTCCTTCTGAAAAATCTCATTCTTACTAATAATACTTTTTCTACTTTCATGTCTTTTTTCTTTACCTTTTATTATTCTTTACTATTGTGTGTATGTGTGTATGTGTGTGTGTGTGTGTGAGAGAGAGAGAGAGAGAGAGAGAGAGAGAGAGAGAGAGAGAGAGAGAGAGAGAGAAATAGACAGAAAGACTCACTGAAGTTTTTAAAACTTTTTCTTAAGCTTTGTTGTCAGTCCTGGAATTGTTTTTGTAGACCAGGCTGGCTTCAAACCCACAGAGATGTGCCTGCCTTTGCCTCCCAAGTGTTGGGATTAAAGAAAGGCATGCATCACTGCCTGGTTTGACTCGCTGAATTTAATCTGGTTTTCTGATATGCATGTGGATGCTAAAAATGCATATTTTAGAAAGTTTATATAGTAGTAGGTATCCATATTTCTTTTTGTTTTGAAAATTACTGTTCTTTATTCCTTTCAGCTTCCCTCTTCTAACATTCTGTCATGTTCATCCCAATTTCATATTTTCCATTCCTTAATTCCCCTAAACGCTTTTCAGTGCAGTCTATCTCGGATACTTTCAATGCCTCTTCTCATGTTCATTTATCAGCAGGTATTGTGAATGAAGTAAGACACCTAGAAATACAAAAGTAATATCCACATTTTATGTTTCTGGGTCTGAGTTATTTTACTGAGAACGATTGTTTCTAACTCCATTTATCTGTGAGTTTCATAATAATATTTTTATTTATAGATCAGCAATATTCCATTATCCACTTATAAGTTTGAGCAAAACTGGATTATGTCCAGTTTGTGGCAACTAGAACTTTTATTGACGGGTATAACTATTTTTGAAGATTATGGCATGTGAGAACAGTGAAAATTAGGGAATCAGTAGAATATATTTTTTTCAATTTTTCTGTGAAGTTTGGCATGCATGTATAATACATGATATAAACAAAGCTTAGAGAAGTTGTATTTCATTTCAGGTACACAACTTGAAATATGTTGTTTCTATTTTTTACAATTCAGTATAATATCAGATTCTTTTTCTTGGCTTAATTAGTTTGAGATATGTTGCTTTAATAACTTCCATGAAGAAATGTTGAATTTTACCATGTATTTTCTGGTTTTTCTTAATATTTGTATTTTGCAGCTCATTATGATAATGCATGAGGAGATCAAGTCTAAGAATAGAAATAAAGTAAGGAAAAGAAATCCAAAGACACAAAAAAACATATTCAAAAGAATCATAGAATTCTCTAATCAAAAAAGGAGGTCCTTTTAAAGGTACAAGAATCATACAGAAATCAAATAGACTGTCCCAGAAAAGAAATTCCTTACAACACATAATAATCAAAGCATTAAGCGTACAGAACAAAGAAAGAATATGAAAGGCTGCAAGGGAAAAAGACCAAGTAACATATAAAGGCAGATCCAATAATGGCAGATGATTTTTCAACATAGACTCTTAAAGTCAGAAGATTTAAATACTTAGATAGATATTATGCAAACCTTAATAGGTAATAAATGTCAGTAGAGACTACCATACCCAGAAAATTTTAAATCACACTAAATTGAGAAAGACATTGCATAAAGAATATTAAATTTAGCAGGGCAGTGGAATCACATGCCTTTAACCCCAGCACTCAGGAGGCAGAGGCAGGTGGATCTCTGTGATTTTGAAGCCAGGCTGGTCTATAAAAGCTAGTTTCAGTACAGACTCTAAAGTGCTTTGGAATTCCTACCACCAGAAGCCTGTAAGTTACCTGCCCACTTGGGCATGGCCTCTTATACTATATATACCAATGTAAAGCACACCTCCGGCCTCTTTTCCAGCTGCATGATTTGGTTGCTGTTCCCTGTTTCAGCAGAAGACTATGATCTGTGAGTGTACCCCTAAATAAATAACCCTTTATTATTCTCAATTCTGAGCTAGTGTGAGATTTCTTTTAAGTGTCCTTCTTCATCTGGTGCCCATATGGATGTGGACTCCACACCTACCAGGTGGACCAGCTTAAAGGTGCACAGTCTAGGAAGTCTCCCAACCCTGCCTACTTGGCTTGCATTTACCTAAGCAGCTTTTTGTAAAATTCCCTCCACAGAAGAGATAACTGCATTCGGTGTCTTGGAAATTTCTCAAGCTCTTGAACATTGCTTCCCCCACTGTTGCATTCCTTGCCATGTGGCGACTTGTGCAGCTTCAGTTTGTGCTCCCTGCCCATGAGTTCTAGGATTCTTGCTCCATGTATGGAATTGATTTAATTGATTTTAATTTATCAAGCAAAGCATATTTCTCAGTATTTAACCAGTACCAAGGCAGGAAACCAAAGTGGCTCAGAACTGTTCATGTCTCCACTGGTTACATTGCTGCTAGTTGTGACTCTGCAACCATGACACCTGCTGGACAATAAAGATTATTACACCTAAAACAATTTACTGGATTTCATAACTGGTAATTAATAAATTAATAAACTTGAAAGTTATATAATGGCAGACAATATTACTATAGAAGCGTTTAGTAACTTTTTTGCTAATACTATGGATTGTATTCTGCAAGGCTTATATGATTATTGTGATACATCCATTTATTGGATATTGGGACTCAGTTTTTCTTCATATTATGTCCTTAAGAAAATGGTTCAATAACAGAGCAAAAAATGAGGCACTTTTAAAAATGATACAGTCTTTGCAGACTAATAATAAACAGCTAGCTGACAGGATTAATACCATTGAAAATCAAAAATTTCCTGAAAAAATAATACTATTGAAAATGGTAACATTAATTTGACAGACAAAATTGAATCCATCTGTAAGGGTACTGAGAAATTAACTGAAAGAATTCATACTGTTGAATTTGACAATCAAAATCTGTTAAAAATTTATGATAGGTTAGGAGATAGAATATCTCTCCAGGAAGGCAATCTGCATGCTATCCAAATAATGACCAAGGATGAGATGTTATCTTATAGGAAAAACTTCAGACTTTGGCATCACATGTGCAGAATGAAGACCAGAGGTTGAAATCACTAGAAATATATACATACATATATATA